ATATTATTTTCCCGCTAACCGATCTGTTACGTCCTCTGACATACCGGTTAGCGCAAGGTTGAGTATGCTCGGAAACCTATTAAAACCATAAAACCATAAAACATCAAAAATAAAAATGACAAGCTCAAGTCCAAATTTCTTTATTCAGTATTGGCTTATCATAAGCTCTCATTTAACGTAAAAAATAGGTACTATCACCGGTTCATTAATTTAGTCCTGTCCGGAGAAGAATCGGCAAGAAACTCATCTGTCTTGTTATACTGTTTGTCAATGACTAGCGACCCGTCCCGGCTTCACACGGTTCCAATGTATTATACATATTTATAAACCTTCCTCTTGAATCACTCTATCTAGTTAAAAAAAAACGCATCAAGATCCGTTGCGTAGTTTTAAAGATCTAAGCATACATAGGAACAGACAGACAGCGGGACGACTTTGTTTTATACTATGTAGTGATTAATGACATACAAATAAAGTATAAAACCAGCAGCAAATGTGAGTGTGAGTCAATCGGGGACATCCATTACACGGACCAGCGTGAAGTAGAAGTTTTCGTTTCCTTTTGGTGATTTGCCCACTGTTTTCAATTGGCAACGCATATGGTATTCCTCGATGTAGTGGACGTTCATAGGAACCGCCTGCCCGCTTGTCTGTCATCATGACAAACCATCAAGACATACAACCCACCAACACAAACACGTGCGCCTACAATTAAACTGTTATAATACGGACCATCGATCGTCATTAATGAAAGCGCCCAGTCTCCGATAAGCATTGCGGCCCTAATTGTTGCCAATGCTCCCGACGGTGTGATGGAAGGCCCGAGGAAGCGGAGCCGCCACGAGGGCGAGCACCCAGCCAAGCCCAAAGACGGCGTCTAAGTGAGCGGAGCGTACTCAATTAGAGCGGCGCGGCGATCAATAAAGCTGCGTGCACACCAAGCGAAGCAGCGGGCGGTCCGCCGCGCTCGCGACGTGACCCGAGCCGACCACCTTAAGTTGATAAATCCGCGTTTGACTACATTGACTACAACATTGCGAATGAATGCATAAAATCGACGTAGTATCGGCGTAGTGGATAGCGAACCTTTATATTGCACCAGAGTTGGATCGATCCCCACTGCTGGAAAAATATTTTGTGATGATTATTATCTTTTCCAGTGTCTGGCTGTCTATATATCTGTATAGATCAGTTACCTAGTACCCAGTTTTGCTTAGTTTGATAATACACAGCGATGGCCAGTACGAGGCTGCCACTCGATAACCTTTCTCCCCCATCATTTCTTCCGTTATCAGTTCTACGAGCTATTTGGCCGGCCCATAGCCACTTCAGCTTACTAATCTTCTGAGCTATGTCAGTAGTTGTTCTGTGATAATATTTTTAATTCAATAAAAAGACATAAATCTGACGAGATTTATGATAAGAGATTAATGAGAGATTGTTATATTTAAACGCAAATCACATCTGAAACATTATTTATGATACATACTTTACATTGTAAAATATTTAACATTCCACAAAAGTTAAATCATAAAAAAGCAGTCCCATTATTTCGTTTACTAACTTCTACTATTATCGATACTATCGGTAATGTAGCGATTGCATTTAAAGATGCAAAGAAATAGAATATAATTTAAAAAACTAAAAGAACCGGACTGCATTTCTGTGTAATTTTTATTTTGAAATACCATACCAGTGTCACTCTCACAGTAAATACGAATCTAACCACTCTCAAGCTAAAATCCATCAAACCGTTCAGGCTGCAGAGCGTGTCAAACAATTATACATACATACATACATACATACATACTCTCGAAAAACATAACCCTCCTTCTGGCGCAGGCGGGTAAAAAAGATCATTCGCCATAATAAAGATGGCGGACAAACGCTCTCCTCGATGCACGTATTTCGATATAAACTTCGACCGCGGCTCGTGACTAACCAATTAAAGTTAGCGAAGAATCGTTATTAATAGGGCTAATAATTTAACGGTCATCTCAGCGCGGGTTCACGTCCGCTCCACTCGACGGACGGATCAGGTCTGACCGCCATATTTCTTTCCGGATAAGGGCACGACTTCGCTGTTCAAATCCAATTTATTTCGCTGTTTGTTTTGAACCGTAAACGGTGAAGAACAATCGCTGTGAGATCTTTATTGGATCGATCGTGGACGCTTGGAAGGGGCCTACATTTTATTCGATTAATTTCTGTTGTTACACTCAAACTTAATCATGTATGACTTGCCCTGATTACACATTCTGTAAGTCTGTTGTGTTAAGACCTAGCCATCACAAAAGCCGGTTAGTAAGTAGTTATGGAATGAAATGATTCATATAGTCTCAGTTTAGTTGCCAAGCGAGCAGGCGGTTCATCTGATGTTATTTTTATTTTATTTTATTTTATTGGAAAACTTACAGCTATTAACAGATATAATTAAGTGATTTAAAGTACTTAAGAAGCCATTTACAAGTCTTCACATTTAGTAATCTTAATTTATAGGAATTATAGAAAATAAAAAGCATAAGTGAAATAAAAAGTTAAGTGAATACCGCCGCCAATGTACATCTGCTACACCCGAGGGTTGCAGATGCGTCCACCACAGCTAACCGTACACGCGGCACAAACGGAAACAGTAGTTTTGTATGTAAGATAAAGAAAACTCTTTGGAAGGAAACCACTAGAACAGATTACAGAGTCCGACAGGGCCGGGACGACCACAAGCGCTAAAATAATAGCAATTTATAATTTGATATGCACAAATATAGAAGCCCTGATAGCTTGTTCGGTGCCGGCAATAATGGGATTGTTAAATGCGATTTTGTTTTGTTATCACGTGCTTAGTGGTGAAGGAAAGCGTAGGGAGGAAACCTGCATATTCTCGAAAAAATCCAAAGATATGTAAAAAAAATATTTCAAAGATATGTCAAGTCTACCAATCTACAATGGCATAATCCAACTACGCCCTAATGTACTTTGCAGAGACGACGCCTTTGACCAGCAGAGGGGCATGCATAGACGGTAATTTTACTTTTACCTTAAGCGCGAATCTGAAACAAACGCGCATTAACCAAAGCTTTGGCAGTCTGTGAGATCCTATCAGAATCTGGTATAATCTGAAAAGTGCGTAAAGGTTCTAAAACAAAAGCTTTCTTTTGGGGAAATATTTAATTTAAGTCATAGACCATAAAACCTGAAGAGGTTTTAGAACATCACGTGCCACCAACCTCTACGGCTGACGATGCACTGCCGCATAGCGCGAACGCAAGTATTTTTTAATATTAGAAAGGGGGCAAACGAGCAGGATGGTAAGTGAGTAAAGAAGTCAAGTCCTATAAGACCAGACTCCGAGAGCTGAGACTGTTCCGCGGTCAGAGACGCGGCCGCAATTAAGTACGTGATCCGAATGGGCCGCCGTCAGGCCGACAGGGCGGCACCGCCACCGCATATTAACGGCCCGTAATGCGACCCGCTCGTGAGCTCCGCTGGATCGCACGATCCGGCGATAGCCTATCAATTTGTCACATCTGCGATCGTGTTCGCGACGTGCGCAATCCCCACGTGACGCTTGTGAAACCTTTCCACTGCTCGGAGTGAGGAAATGGCTTTTTCCTCACATACTGCTGGTTTCTGCGTTGGTGACCTCTCTAATTTAAGCGGGTTATTCCATCTTGCCCCGAGCATACATGATACCGTTTGGAGTTGGTGGACTAGTGATGTCATTTGATCACATGAACTAAACATTTCATTTACTGACTACATTTCACTATATTTCAAGATTACTTACAATCTGTTTGCGAATATGTTAAAAACAATTGAGTCAATCATAACTCTAAGTACCGTTGTAGGATGGTCAAAGGTTCAAAAAGTCAAATTCATCACCAATCAATAAGGTAACTTACTTACGAACTTATGTATTATGTTTTATGTAAAATTCGACGTTTCATAAGATCGCGCAAGCGTCTATTTGAATAAAGATATTTTGAATTTGAATTTCGAATCGGTTTGCACTATTCATAATAGAAAAAGTGTTTAAGTTTTTTCTCAAATCCTCTTTAATTTCTAAATGTTAAGCAACAATACAAATATATATTGCAGTGTCTTCAACTCGTTACGTTAATGGTAACTTATCAGTTATTGAACTGTAAACCGATTACGTGAACAGTTATCTTACAGTAGTCTTTTCGTCATTCCCTCGTTGTGGTAGGTGTTACCGCCGTATATAAGGATACGTAACAAAAACACCAACCCGTGCAACAAACGTCCACGATCAAATCGGTGGAGGAGAAATACGGAGACAGTGTTGTGCCATTACTCAAGCGTGCTGTACAAATCACCGCTTTATCGATGCATTACTAGTGATGTAACGAGGGCTGCGCGTCGTGCCAGCGCCTCTGTGACCGGCGTCGATAGCGTTGCCCGATGTATCGACGCAATTAAGTCGATATATCGATTCGCCTGTATCGGGCAGCCCTCAGCCCGACGTCACGAGCTGAATATTGTGCCAATTTAGCATTATCGCTTTAACGTGAGACCCTCATTAAGATAAGGCCCTGTTAATAATGCGGGAGCGGAGCAGTTTCTAGATTGCCCCGCTTAGTGGATGCTGAGATTTAGCTCTTAATTTAGATGAGTTTCGCGAAAGTACTAATATCCCGATAACGAATTCGATATAGACATACGACGAGGAAGTTTGCTCCCGTTAACGAATTCAACGATGAGGAAGTTTTCTATGGCTGCAATTTTTAACACCTCATAAGGATCCCATCTAAATATTCATAGAGTATTTTACATTTATTATTAATAAAGTCTCAAGAGGCGGCTTAAAACAAGAGCAACTCAAAATTCGATTAAGGGATTACTAACAAATTGTATCCCAAAAGATACGCTTTCGCAATTAACGTCTGCGGACGGTCGGCTTACATACAAAACCTTTGTCCCGTCGCGTCGTGTGCTCCATATACAGCGCTGTTGCCAAACAAATAAAGGCGATCGTAAAAGCAATGCCAATCGCCGGAGCCAAAGCTCAAACAAAAGGTCGCTCTAAATCAGGCATCGCTGGCAACTGGAGCGGTAACGTAGGAGCTGCTTCGGTCACGCTGCTGACGATTGCCATCATGACTGCGCTCCGGAGAGCGGAGGGGCACATGGCCAATGGCGGGCGCCATTCTCGCAGACCACGCCCCGCCAGCCGCCCATGTACTGGGGTCACGGCTAGCCGCTGCTAACCGCTCAAGCTTATCAGGGCTATATTTCGGAGCGTCACCGTGAGTGCTTGCACCGTTTCGCTGTCGAACAATTACGCGGGAAATGTACAGCTTGAGGTCGGATGAGTTCTTCGCGATAGCAAATAAGAGATTACTCGTAGCTTCGCTTTCAAATTCAAATATCTTCATTAATAGCAGCATTAAGTCAGTTATTGATCGTCAAAATACTACCACCCGGTTCGGAAAAGAAAAGCCACTGAACTGAAAAGAACCGGCGATATAAATTCAGGGGCTGCTTCATTTTTATATTTTATTGTACGATTATTTGACAATGAAATATGTATACGATATATTATAGTCCACTTGAAACAGCCTGGAGCGATCAATTCATTTCCAGAGTTTTCATTTAAGTAATTAAGACAGTTATTCATTTCGTGATTTGACATTTAGACCTTATATATATGACAGGGGCTTGAGTAGCTTTGCTTAGCGTCTTAGCGTCAATCATTAAAATAATTATAAATAATCAATTCAACTTTAAAATATTATGGAAACATGCCTTCTCCCTAGTAAGTTAAATGGCAATTTTTAATTAAGACTACGAGCTCCCATAAAACAAAGTATCTCACTAAAAAATATTTTTATACGAAACTATTTCATTTGCTATTATTTTAGCAATTATAACCAATTTATTGAATTTATCGGAGGCGTGTTAAGAACACAAGTAGACTTTTAGCGTCTTAGCGTGTAGGATAGCAGTTTCTAAAAAAGTAATCAGTGTCAGCGTAGAGGAGAGATCCTTTCTATTTGTACCTATCTACAGCTCAGTACAAAACCTGTTAACTCTCTCATTGCAACACTCACTTGTACGGAATACCTAACTCTGGCAGATTGTACCACACTTTTGACGCATTAATTACGAAAATTGGGGCAAAACTATTGGGTAAAATATTGACAACAAATGTAGCGCTTGTGTAGAATATCGACAGCAAATAACTCGAGACTGGGCAGATTGGTTTTTACCATGTCAGGTTCACAAAGAAGCAGGTAGAAAGTTTTGTACAGCACCAGCAGTAATTAAATTTAATGAACAGCTTAAATTCAATACAAAATGTTAAGGCAGCAAGAACATAAATAAATCAGTGCGGCGGTAACAAACAATCTAATATAATTAAAAGGTTGTCTTTAACGTTTTGGTTTTTAAATAAAGATTTATTGATCCTTGAAAGTTATTTTTTCAATTAAAAATATTGTACTTTTGCTCGATTAAAAATGATCAATCACAAACTTGTCTGTTGTGGAATATATCAATAAAAAATTATTATATTAATCTTTTGTTGCAATCAAGATGAATTTTTTATTTTAGAAAAACGTATGTTTCACTTTAGGTTATGGAGTTTTACAAAGACCTAAATAAAGTAATAAATGTTTTCAAGCACATATTTTTACACAACGTTATCCAGTACCAAACTAAACAAAGTTTGTAATATGGGTACTAGGTAATTTTACTATTATTAATTCTGTTTGTCTTTTTTTCGCCAATAGCGGCAAACATAAGATTTTAAATAGTGTTTTATCAAATCATTAAGTTTTATGATAAATTATGGGAGTTCTGGCGAACTGGCAAAACACACCCTTGAAAAATTTATTTTGAAATTACAGAAACACGTCGAAACTACAAAAGCACAAATTCAATCACAACAACCATTTTCCCATAACCCCTGGTGCTAGAATCGAATACACACTCTGTGACGTAATTGACAGGTTCACGATCCACTGCGGCAATCTCTATGAAAGCAAACATTACCTGTAGTAGTGGCAAAGTCTTGTCTATTCTCCTAATTTCTTTATTACCGATCTATGAAAGATTTTAAGACTGTTCTATTTCAGTACTTTCAAAACCGTCACAATTGCGTTGCCGGCCTTACAGTGGGGGGAGTTGGCTCTCTTATTGAAGTTCCCTAAGTTTGTAAAGCTTTATCTCTGTTACACAAAGCAATAACAGACAGTGCGTGACTGAGATAGCGCTCTACGATACCCGATTGTGACTTCTATAGGTCGATGTGCAATATTTATCGCCGAGTACTATACTCGTATTTAAGAAACAGGTGAGATGAAATTACCTCATCGCCCGTGTAGCAATTACGCGAACAAGCTGGCGTTCGATCGGCGGTGTCGGATGGTCCATTGCGACGGTATCAGCTGATCGGGGACAATAAATCGGCGCCGACAAACGGCGCCGGGGCACGCCACTAGTGCGGAGGAAGAGACGGGACGCGGGCGCGATTGTTTAGTCCAGGAGACCATCTTTTTCTTCATACATATATTGTAGTTTGTATTTTTTTTTTTAATATTTAAGGACATTCACACGTTATCTAGTCCCAAACTAAGCAACGCTTATACTCTATATGGATTAAAAATGTGGCCTAAAAATGTTTATTTCTTTACTTAAAAACCTTCGTCGGATTTGCCCGTCCTCAGCCCTCATGCTCAGTTGTGGGACGTGACGTCACAGTCTCCCGATGGGGCCCAGCCGTGACCCGCGCCCGCCTCGTGACTCCGGCGCAATTACGCGTCACGCCGCGGCCCCCGCTGATTTATGAAAGCCGCCACTTTTTCGTTTCGCCGCGAGAGCACCGCGACTTTATACGTTCACCATGTCGACGGTAGCAGACGGGATAAAAGGTAGAGACAATCAGCCAAAGAAAATATTATTATTAATTGCGGTAGGTCCATAACGATGTAGACGGTAGCAGACGGGATAAAAGGTAGAGTCAATCAGCCAAAGAAAATATTATTATTAATTGCGGTAGGTCCATAACGATGTAGACGGTACGGGATAAAAGCAGACGGGATAAGTGGTAGAGTCAATCAGCCAAAGAAAATATTATTATTAATTGCGGTAGGTCCATAACGATGTAGACGGTAGCAGACGGGATAAAAGGTAGAGACAATCAGCCAAAGAAAATATTATTATTAATTGCGGTAGGTCCATAACGATGTAGACGGTAGCAGACGGGATAAAAGGTAGAGACAATCAGCCAAAGAAAATATTATTATTAATTGCGGTAGGTCCATAACCATGTCGACGGTAGCAGACGGGATAAAAGATATTTTACTGGGGTAGGTCAACGCAATTCATCGCTGTTGCACGAATGGGTACGTCCGTCGGGGGAAGTACCGCGACCTCATAGATCGGCGTGAAGTGAAAGCGTTATACTTCCTCGTCAGTTGAGCGAGGTAACCGGGGCCCGCTTTCTTAAAGTAGCAAAGCATCTACAACCCTTTCTTTTCGGGGGTTTCCTCTTTGAGAAAACCCCTTTATGAATACACTGCCACTGGATCAGGGGAGGGGCAGGGGGTCCCAGCCAGAAACGGGTACCCACTAAAAACACCTGCACCTGTCTCTGTCGTATCGGCATACGAGGTCGAGGCGCCGTCGGTATACGAGAACACGTGGACGCAATGTACCGCGAACGCATCTGCGACCCAACGGGTGTTGCTAATTTCCATGGGCAGCGTTTATCACTTAACATCACTCCCACATAAAAAAAATATTCCTAATAGGATTAACAAAATCCTTAATCTATTCTCAGTACAAATATTCTAAAATGCAAACGCGAAATTGTGAGTTCGTATAATAACGTTATATTAAAATACAAACGTACGCGCGCTCGAAAGGGAATCAATTATCCTACACACAACTTATCTACAATGCCATCATCCTGTTATCTCATCGTAAACAACGGCGGTCGATTTAAAACATTTTCACTGTTTACACTGTCATCGGATCATTCTCAATAACGTTATCGATCATTACACAATCTATCAGACGTCGATCAGATTTTAATGATGCCCTACACATTCCGATCATTAACGATTAAGGACGCCGATACCAAACTAATGAAGTCATTAAAACGTTATGCGTCCATCGCTATATAATTTACGACGCATAAACATTGAAACCTGGGCGGCATCCTATCGTTGGATCGTCACGACGGCTTAGTATAGATTAGGATAATAAATGCCCAGTATTTTTGGTGGACTTTACAGTCACTGCGGCGTTAATCTATTATTTTGGTAATCAGAGCGTTATTTTTTTAAGAATTGCAATCAATAGTCCTGTTCTAAATTAGGTACAGTCAGTTCTCATCAAAAGACTTCACTAACTATTGGAGCATGTTTTATGCGAAATATTCATTTCTTTTGATGTTAGGTCACCGATGGTCATAGACGAAGGTCATGGGAGTATTTTAAACATTGCCAGCATCGTTTATAATGCATTAAAAGCGTGTTCTCGGACACTGAGCTGTCACGGCTCCGTTTCGGATTATATTATTATTTGCTAAATAACAAAAGATTCGTTGGCGCAATTGCTAAGCTATTGGCTTTGATGACGAAATTCGTGGATTCGATTCCCACACGGGACAAGCACTCGCGTGACCAACAGATAATTAAAACGGATATAGATGGTTTACCCCTAAAGAAGGTTGATGTCAAGCACGTGTTTTTTTTTTTATGTGAAAAGTTGCCAAACGATCAGACGGTTCACCTGATGGTAAGTGATTACCGCCGCCCATGGACATCTGCCACACCCGAGGGTTACAGATGCGTTGACAACCTTTTGAAAAATTGGGCTCCGGCAAGAGTGGTGAGAGCTGGTGAGTGAGACCAGACGAAACGCGAAAGTATTTGTCATACTTCCACTTTACGCTGGTCTTCTGTGAGGTCGTGGTACTTACCCGGACGGGCGTGCCCATTCGTACAACAGCCGAGGCTGCTGCGTGACCCTACCACCGTTAAAAACAGTGGTTGTAAAACCCAGCTAATACCATTGTGAACATGATTCATATGTTGACACACACCCTACGTAGTTCTCATTTGACAAGGGAAAGCGCATTGTAAGTACCAAATCATTAACTGATCTATAAAAACAACATGGTAACAGACACTAAGGACTGTGTTGTAACGCCGTGTAGATATTTTCTTACAGATATTGCAGATTATTACAAACCAGC